GTCTTCGATGTCCTTGATTTTATCGGAGTTAATCTCGATTCCCCGATTTGACACTATAAAGCCGAGAAACTTGCCCGAACCGACCCCAAAAGTACATTTTTCGGGATTGAGCTTTATGTTGTATTTCCTCAAAATATCGAACGTTTCCTGCAAATGGGTCAAATAGTCCTCTGCGCGCATGGACTTAACTAGCATGTCATCAATATAAACTTTCATTGATTTAACTATTTGTTCTTCGAACATTTTATTTACTAGGCGTTGGTAAGTAGCCCCTGCATTGTTTTAGCCCGAAGGGCATCACATTATAACAATATGTTTCATATTTGGTGACAAATGAAGTCTTTTCCTGGTCCTCCGAGTTCATCTGGATTTGATTATACCCGGAATAGGCATCGAAAAAAGTGAGGATCTCGTAGCCGGCCGTGGCATCGATCATGCGATCGACGTTGGGCAGCGGAAAGAAATATTTGGGGCTTGCTTTGTTCAAATCCTTATAGTCCACACACATTCTAAGTTTGTTCCCCTTTTTAGGCACTACAACTACATTGGCTAACCATTCGGGATATTTTACTTCCCGAATGGACCCTATTTTGAGAAGTTTGGTTACCTCGTCCTTTATCAATGTGTGCTTCCCCACAGACTGGGGTCTTCTCTTTTGTTTCACCGGCCTGAACCTAGGGTCCAAGCTTAGCCGATGCGTTGTTATGTCCGGTGGGATCCCTGTTATATCTAAATGGGACCACGCAAAACAATCAATATTATCGATAAGAAATTGAACAAGTTTCTTCCTGAGTTCGGGGCTCAACCCCGTTCCCAAGTATACCTTTCGCTCGGGCCAGTGCTCGATTAGTATGACTTGCTCTAGTTCCTCAATTGTTGATTTGGTGGCGTCGGAGTCATCGGGAATCATGAAAGATCGAGGGACCCTTTGATCATCATCTTCTTCGATCTTCTGGTTATCTGGCTGGGTCGAAGCCGACATCTGTGATTGCTATTTGGTGTTCCGTTCTCCTTCTAAGCCCGATCCCTTTATCGGTGAAGGCGAGGATATTGATTTCGCTTCCTCAACGGCGAACATTTATTTTGTGGCCGGTTGTTCTCTGTAAAATGTTTTGACACCTCTCAATGTTGGGAATTTGAGGACTTGGTGTAGGGTCGAAGGTACAACTCTCATGTTGTGGATCCATGGCCTTCCAAAAAGGGCGTTGTATCTCATATCGCCTTCGATCACGTGAAACTTTATTTCCTGGATGGTTCCGGCCATGTTTATTGGTAGGATTATCTTACTTTTGGTGGTCTCACATGCCATATTAAATCCGTTTAGAACCAGAGTTGCGGATACGATCTGGTCCTGTAGGCCGAGCTGTTCTACGACCTTCAATCTGATGATGTTGGCCGAGCTACCTAGATCGATTAACACACGCTTAATTTTAGTTTTATTCATGAGTACAGATATTACCAGTGCATCGTTATGAGGTTGGATGACCCCTTCTGCATCTTCATCATTGAAGGACAAAGTCCCTATCGATGCGTAATCTTGAGTTCGAGATCGCTTTTCCCTCACAATCGATATTTTAGTACGTTTAAGCATTGTTCCCTGAGGGTTATCGGCGCCACCGATGATCATGTGAATGACGTGCTACGGTTCTTCTTGCTTGTTTTTTTTTTGCCGAAATCCCTGTTTTTAAAATGGTTCTTTGCCCTATCACTCAAATATTATCGAAGGTGCCCTTTGTTAAATAAGCGGGCTACTTCCTCTCTTAGTTGTCTGCAATCTTCCGTTCTGTGGCCATGGGTGCCATGATATTCACACATTTGATTGGGATTCCTTTGGGAAGGATCGGTCTGCATGGGTCGAGGCCATTTAGTGTCTTTGATATGTCCAATAGCCGACACGATAGCGGATGCATCAACGCTGAAGTTATACTCTGATAACCGAGGTGCTTCTATAGGATCGACATATTTATCAAAGCCTCTCCTGCTCATAAGTCCCCGAGAATTTTGCACTCGATCAATCCTTCGATTGTTACGAACTGTATTGCGTGTTGAACCGTTGTTCATCCGATCTGCAACGTACGGTTGATATCAGTCTCTGTTCGACCTTTGTTCTCTGTCGATCTCCCTTTGGCTTTTAGTAGTTGTCCTATTCTAATACACGGGGTCCATACGGAGCTCCCAACTGGTCATCTTTGACCCTAATTTTCGATTGGTATCGGTTGTGTATATCTGTCCAAGTTATTACTTGATACTCGATCAAATTTTGCTTCAACCGACATGATACTGTCGAACTTTGTTCGTTCAACCCTTGGGTGAAGGCTTGTACGGCCCAATCATCTGTGACCTGTGGCAATTCCATGCATTCCATTTGAAATCAGGATACGAATTTCCTCAGCATTTCATTACCCCTTTGCTTCACTTTGAAGAGGTCCGATTTCCTTGTTGCAACCTTTATGGCACCAGCATGTGCCTTTACGAACAAATCTGCTAATGGCAAAAGAATCGATGGAATTCGGCGGTAGATTGTGATACCAGATCATTGCTCCCTTCGAGAGGGTCTCCCCGAACTTTTTCAACAACACAGATTCGATCTCATCGTCCTCCAAATCGTTACCCTTGATGGCACATGTGTAAGAGGTAACGTGTTCGTTAGGATCGGTCGTACCATTATATTTGGAAATTTCGGGCATACGAAATTTTATGGGGATTGGTTTTGGGGCCGCACTCGAGGGAAAAGGCTTTTGTATGAATGTTTTTGAATCAATCCCTTTTATCATTGGTGGAGCCCCCGGGATTTGATCGAACCTGGCATTGTATGTTTCCACTCTCTTGTCGTTGGCTTCGTCTCGTTTTGTGAGTTCCTCGAGCAATTTAATAATTTCGGGAGTGGTCCCCGATTCTTACTCGTTTGATTTCACTATGGCGGGCTCCGTTCTGGGGGTGATTTCTCGAAGCGGATTGGGATCCGGCCTGCTTTGTATATGACTTTGGCTTTGCAACTAGGCTATCGCTACTTGTTGGGCTTGTAGCATCTCGAAGATCATACGTAAGCTGGTTCCGATTTCCCCCGTGTTATGGGTTTCTCAAGCCACGGATCGAGTACCACCCTGAATGTTTTTTTCGGTTCGGAACACTGATTCGCCTCCAGAGCTATTTGTGAATTGACATCCAATGGTACTTAGGCTCGAATTTTGGGTACTTTGATTCGAGCCTCAGTGCCATCGTCAAGTGGCCTTCCGCCCCCGGGTGCCAAGTTGTTGGTTTCATCTTGAAGGTCGGCTTCGAGGTCGATAGGTAAAGCCATTTCTGATTTGAAGTTGTAAACTGGTGTATACTGCAAATTTATATCAAACAATCACTGTTATCCTTAGCTCCACGGTGGGTACCAAACTGTTTAGCCAAAAAATCGGATAACTTTAAATTTATGTATGGTTCTAAGGATACGTGATACCCTTTGATACAAATGTAACAATACGAGTGTTCTTGATTATGAGAATGAGGATAATGAACAGAAAGAATGAGTAAGATGAAGTAGAACAAGCACAAGGAGATATCTTTGTATATGAGAAAAAATCTTTTGTTCGAGTATCTTCAGTATATGCATAGCTTACAAGGATCCCCTCTTTTATAATAGAGGGTCATTACATTATTTATAACAAAAAATAATAAAATAAAGCATATAGTGGAGGACCCATGATGATTTGTCTCTTCCTCGATTCCCGCCAAGATTCTCTCTCTTGGTGCGGTTATAACGGCTCTGGTCTGTGAGCTCGATACTGGCTCGAACTCGTTACTGGGTCGAGTCCTTCGGTCTTGGCTTGAGTCCGACCTTCAGGATGGGCGTGGCGCATTTCCGACCTAGAAGCATTGCCTTGCGGATCGATTTCGTCACGGGCTCGATAAGATTATCGAGCCGACTCCTCGAGCAACCTTCGGACTCGAGACTCGTTTGTACTGTCTTCGGAGCTCATTCCCAAAATTCTATTCCGGTTTCTTGTCACTCGAATTCGATCGAACGTAGGAAGATCGAAATCTATTTCGACCGTATACAAAGTCATAGATCGCTCATAAGAGCACTCAAGAGGATCAAGGGCTGGCAGTTCGAAATTCCTCTCCATTCGGCGAATTATTCATTAGATATTCCTTACTATCGTTGATTATATATATAGAGAGGTGTTTCATAATAAGAATATTGCATGATAATTATTATATGTTCGTGTTTTATTTACTTTCTTAGTATGACCAAATTTTTTTATTTTGTTTTATTTTGGCATATGATTAGTTTTCTGGAATTGCATTATCTCACAAGGGAATAGAAAAAGGGATAACCACTGTGATTCTTTAACCTTCTGATTATCCACAAAGATTATGAAATAATTTAATTAAGCAACAAATTAATAAGAGTAATCCAGACAATATGAATAAATGTTGTTAAAAAGTCTGGCAGAATAGCATTAGAAAAGATTATGCATCGATCCAAATCAGAATAGCATTACAATTTTCAGTCATAATCTGATAGCGTCTTACAGTCAACATCCTCTATGTACACAAGTTTTTCCTTTATGTCAAACCCGAAATTATGGTCTTGCTGATTTGCCTATAATTGTGAGATTTTCTGCTTCATGTTCTAGAATAGACAGATTTGCCGAGGTTGGCAAAATAGTCATGCAAAATATCCTTTGGTGAGATTGGTCAAATAGAGCATCCACTAAAGTGAAATATGACCTCGGTAAAATTTTCTAAATCCTCCGAGACACGCCCCTCAAAGCATAACTGGCCGCCGGTTTTACTTTCCGGAATCGTTGAAAGTTTCCAGTTTTCATATAACTTTTTATCTCCGCACTTAATTAGTAGCTCAAAAGCTCCTTTATGCAAATAGGTTTCTGGACTTCCCGTGTCAAATGAAACTCCTTCGTCCTTAAGGTTGAGAAGAAAACACCTTTTTGTCTGCTATAAGTTTTTCTCCCATGCTAATCCCATCCAACATAGCATAATATGAGCTATTAAAGATCTCCAAGGGTGTTTAATCCCCCTCTAACCTCGCCCTCGTCACCTATGATGAGGTGACTGTATGAATCATTAATGTCCTTAATATGTCCAATACAATAGGAAAACTGGGATCCGATTTGTGTCATTACCGATGCTTTATTTGTCCCTAAACCAAGTATCCCACTGTACTCGTACCCGAATTCATCTCCATAGTTATATGTTCCGCACCCAAAAGCTACGTTAGGAACACTCTCCACCTCGTTATCGGAGGTAATGAAATGAAGAGTGTCTGCACTAACAATTCCTCTAGACCAAGTGTAATCCATGTATGCCGATGTGTATATGCACTCAAGCCATTCATTACATTGCCCATCGAACTCGCGACACGTCCAAGAGTCGCAAGAAACTTTGGAATATGTTGATTTGTCAACGTAGTAATGAGGAATTTGGTTTTGATCTCCACATTTTTTGCACGGGTAGCATTGTATCCGGAATATGTTGCTACCCGTGTCTACTAGCACCAACCGGTAGATGTCAGGCTCACCAATAGATATATTTGTAACGAAACCATGATCCGGTCGACACGAAAGGGGAATTCGCAAGTCATTGGGTGCCATTTCACCAGTGAAATTTTGTTTGGGTTTAAATCGTTCGAGCTTTGCTCGGATGGTCATTGCTAGAGATTGGGGAAAGAAGGCTATAGAAAACAGTGTAAAAAATAAAAGGGACACAAGCATAACATTGTTTGTTGTCACTTTGGATTTCCCTATGATTTCTTTAACAAGTGATTTTTTCTTGCTGGATTGTATTGAATGTCTTGCTATAGAGACATCCTTTTATAGATACCATGGATTTGAACTACATATTTAAGTTAAAAAAAAGTATTCATTCAGGTTGAATGATCTTGCCTTTTGTTGTGTTATACCTAATTTTGCAGAGGTTGGTAATAAACGCAAAGCTTGCATAAATTCTAGCCAATAAGAAGGTAGAAGGTTGTTTGCATGTCAAAATTTTGGGTTGAAACAGTTCATTGTACTCCTCGTACTAGTTGACCAAATTTTGTGGCTTTAATTATGTTTCGATGTCTATTGCTCGGACCTAGGATAGTGACTTGGCCAAAAGTTGGAAAAAAGGTGTTCATGCAAATTGATTGATCTTGCCTTTTATTGTGTTATACCTAATTTTGCAAAGGTTGGTGATAAACGCAAAATAACGCTTGCATTAATTCTAGCCAATAAGAAGGTGAGAAGTTGTTAGCATGCAAAATATAGTAAGACATTATTGGTTAGAAATCAAAATGAGACACATCTTTCAAAATTATCGGTTAAGTCCTCATCCAATTTTTCAAAGCTAATGTTAATTGACATCACCCTAAATAAACTAGCACACATTAATTAAGTATTTATTTTGGGATTAAAGTGTTTTTCTAGAAACTAATTCATATATAATGTAACCAAAATCTAAGGAATTAGAAGTATGCTTAATTTTGCTATCATACAATAACTCTCTTTCACTTTGATACTTGATGTCACATAAAGATTCACATGTAGTAAATATAGACGCACTCCTGTGTTTACCCTCAAAATCGGATAACAATTGAATTTAAAAGTGATTTTAAGGATACCTGGATTAACTTGACACAAAGTACTGAATTAGATTGTAATTGAAATAAATAATGATAAAGTAAACGCAAACCACGCGAATAGAACAGTTTCAGCCTTGGAAGGTTAGCCACCCTCGAGCCGAACGTACTTCGATCGATATCAGACAGAAGAATAAGAACTTAAAGAGAATAATAATATATGGCATTGGAATGCATGTTACAATGTGTCAAATGAATTATCAGATCCCCCCTTTATATAGTATAGGAGTCCTATTTTAGGTACAATTTTATAAAAGATAAAAATCCCTTAATTTCCTGATTGTCGGTTCCTTACTGATACGTACCGATATTTTCGCCGTAATATCCGACCGGTCACGAATATTTTGGTCTTCTGTTATGCTAACAATGTTTCTTCGATCTTGTTTGGGGCTAGGGTTGACTCCGGGATCACGGATTCAATATTCTCGAAGGTAGGCATTCTGACCCCGAGTTCTAACTCGGTGGGACTTGGGGTCGATCTCCAGTCCTTGGTTGTCATGTTCCGAACCTAACCTATCATGTCATGGGCGAGCTCAATTTTGACCTTTTACAGACATCTCCTCGTTTTTTGTAGAGTAGCCGACGAGAAATGACATGAGCTTCTAATTCTTACTTCGATACCCCGTGACAGAAATGACAAAATAGACGAAACGTCTCGTCAGTCAAGTCTTAATGGCATTAAATGCTTGTTAGTTGTTGGTCGGCCACTCCTGCATGCGAACCGTCACTGAAAAATATAAATACCCCCACATTCGTTCATTCAAACTTTACATTCAAACCTTCTGCCCTCGTACCTTAGCAATCGTAATATTTTCAGGCACGTATATCTCGGTTATTTGAGATCTTTTATAAGAACTTTTGTTTGCCTTCATCCCAAACCATCAAGTGTACTCTTTTAACTTCCTTTTTTTCCTTGTTTCTCCTCCGTTTTCAAAGAAATGGTGAATACTTCAAAACTCATTTCCCAAAAAGAAACTCCTTCTACCTCGCGGCCGGCTACCGAAGAGATTGTTTTGCGTACTCCTGTCGAGGAACCAGTACCGGAACCTCCTCTGAAAATGGTCATCCCCGAGGGGTGCCTGGTCAACGCTGATTTTAAGTCGAAAGGCCTTCTTCTCTACAAGGTCGGTGTGAGGAGGTCTCGAGTTGCGAGCTGGCAAACTTCTCAGCGAACAGCGTGAGGGGGAGGCTAAGAGCCTCCGAGCTGAGCTGGAGGTGGCTCGGAAGGTGCATACTGACTTGGTCGAGCAGATAAAATTATTTGAGGTTAGTGACGATGAGCTAAGATCGATGACTAGCAGTCGGAATCTGCAAGTCCAACAAAAATCGATCAGATCGATCAACTGCGAGCTAAGATGGATGTTGTCAAGGCCTAGACCGGTGAATGGATGGGCAGGATGGATCGCCTGGCCTCGGAAAAGGAGACTACTTGGGCGCAGATGGCTTCGGCTAAGGCCCAGCTTCGAGAGGCAAAGGAAAAGGCCAAGGTGCAGGCCAAAAGGGTTGAGGAGCTCTAATCTCAGCTAAGTGTAGCCGTCTCCGATCGAGGAAATCTTGCCAAGGAGATAGAAATGGCCAAGTCGGCGGTCGTTGTTGTTAAAGCCGATGCCGACGAAATGGTGGCCCAATACGATGCCGAGGAGGCATAGGACCGGACCGCTTGAAAGACATTGTTGAATATGAGAAGCGGCAGTCAAGAGGAGAGGCCCTCGAGGAGATTCATGCTCGGGGTTTTGATCTGTCAACCGAGATCGAAACCGCTAAGGGGCTCGAGGGCGAGGCCAAGAAGTTGGCTTACCCCAAGGTAGAAGAATAAGGAGACTTTGAGGGTTCCGGTGGATCCGAGAGTGGAGGAGACTCTGAAGACCCTAGCGACGAGGCGGGTTCCGGTAAAGACTAGGATGTTTAAGTGCCTTGTATATTTTTGTATTTTTAACTTGTGCACTTTTGTTCTTTTTGTTAAGGCCATTTGGCCTTTGTAAAGACTCTATATAATATAAGGTTTGTTTTTCCCTTCGACAATCTCTGAGTTTTGTTGTGTACTTTGCTTTATTATTTATATTTGCAAAGATTGAAATGCTTAGCATGAGCTAGTTAGGTCTTGTTTAGAGGTTCGAACAGGCCTTGCCTTCGACATTATTTTGTTTAAGGCATCGCGGGGGTTTTGTATGACCGGAAACCTTTCCCCAAAGTACTTATCGTAATTTGTCGACAGTAGCCTTTAGAATCGGTTTAGAAAATTTTCAAGGCTTTGTTTATTATTATGGGTCATAGATGTCACGTCGTTTTAATATGGTCGTACCCTTTTTAGTTTGGGTGTTGCCTACTGAGCTTGTTATTTCGAGTTATCCGGGTTTACCTAAGATAATAGTCCCTGAATGAGGATGGCCGTAGCCTTTAAGGTTCGGGCATTGCCTAATAGGTCTTGTGCCCCTGGCCTCCTTAGCCCGAGTCGTCTGAGTTTGTTTTTGGACGACAATCCCCGATTGGGAGTGATTGTTTGAACCCGGATAAAGGCGGCCCTTAGGAGAAAAGAAAAAAGAGAAATATTTAAGGGACAAGATATTTATCCGCAAGGTAGAGACTTCTTTTTATTCTTGTACGTAATGGTTACACATGTGCACAAGATTTGTGCCAGGGATCGAGCAGTCTATGCAGGTATGGTTCATTTGACCGTTTGGCCCTTACAGTAAATCCTATCGATCGATTCGATACTATTCAATCATAAAGTTTCTTTCCTTGCTAAAGTCGTTATCCGAGGGTAATGCCCCCAGTGTTCGGGGCCGATCGTGGAGATACCTCGAATACTGTTGTCGTGATCTTTGACACCAGTTCGTAACCGGCCTTCAATTCTAAGTTAGCATGATTTACTATTGCCTCATTAAAAACCTTTCCGAAAAACCCATTTGGAACAAAATTGGTTCCGAACTTTTGTTTTCCTTCATCGCAAACCATCAAGTGTACCCTTTTAACTTCCTCTTTTTCCTCGTTTCCCCTCCGTTTTCAAAGAACTGGCAAAAACTTGAAAAATCGTTTCCCAAAAAGAAACTCCTACCTTGCGGCTGACTACTGAGGAGACGTTTCGCGTACTATTGTCGAGGAACCAGTATCGGAACCTCGTCTGAAATTATTCATCCTCGGGAGGTACCTAGTCAACGCTGATTTTAAGGTCGAAAGGCCTTCTTTTGTATAAGGCCGGTGCGAGGAGGTCTCGAAGTACATCTGCTCGATCACCGAGGATGTCCTCTCTGCAGTCAAAAAGGATTGCAATGGGATTGACAAACATGTGGTGATTCCTGAACCTGACGAAGCCATCACCACCCACGTCGAGGGACTTTTAAGTGTTTACACTTATCCCTTCACGTTGGGCCCCTTGGACCCGGTTATTATCAACTTTTGCAAAGGATATGAGGTAACCCTTGGTCATATTTACCCTTGTTTTTGGAGGATCGTAATCCTCCTCTGTTTGTTTGTAAGCAAGATCGAAGGGTGCCCTTTCCCTATCGACCATCTCATGCATTTATACAGTCCCCGACTCTACCGGGGGGGACTGATCAAGCTCTCCCATCGGGCCACTAAAGCCCCATTCTCGAGTATCGATGAAGATCAGGATCGAGGTTGCCTAGCTATTTCATCCGAGTAAGAACCTCAGACTTGATCCCGGCCGAGCACATGTCGTTCCCTCAGAAGTGGAACGTGTCACGTAAGTATAATTTTTCTTCCAAGATTTAATTTATCGCTTTTCTCCTTTCTTCTTATCTGTGTTCTGTGGCAGTGCAGTTGTTGCTCTGGTCCCGAATGCAGTTTCTCAACTCAAGGAGTGGGTCGAGGGCATCTTATTACAAAGGCCTTTTTCCGAGCGTTCGTGGCACGAACTTTCAAACGGCCGTTGGGAGGCTCGTTCACACGGTGAGATCTATTTCATGAGTAATATTTGGTTTCCCTTTTGCATCATTAAGTCCTCACTTGTTTTATTTCGTTTTGCAGGTTTATCCCAGGATGTCAAAATGAGGACCCCATTCGGTAGCGATG